TATATATATATATATATATATATATATATATATATATATATTCAGGGACTCAGAGTTCGCTGGCAGTACATCACTTAGAAGAACAGAGTAATTTGAATTTTGCTCATTTTCCAGATGGTCTCAAACAACAGAATAAGGTGATATATAGATCTAGGACCCATAGAGAAATTCACCCTCCCAAATACACTACACTGATTCGACGACTTCCAGCCTAATCACATTAAGCCGATTTAAAGTATCCAATGGATACGGAGGTAAAAGTAAAAGCCAAAAATGGCATGCCATGGTTCTTAATCATCATCATACTTGCCATTTCCGGTCGTGTGACCTCAAACAGCCAAACGACACACACTCAATGGCGGTCTATGCTATGTTTTGAAATAATGAACAACTTTTGCTCAACAGCAGCAGCAACAGAAACGGGACATTTTATTGACTCTATATGAATGTATGTGCATGACCTATGTGAAGTTGGACAACTGAGTTCTTAGTTCTTCAATTTCTAAAAGTTTTCCAGTTGAAGATATCGAAACTCTCATTCACATCATTGACTTGGGTAAGAGCAAACAAGAAACTATCTGCTGGTAGTTGACCAGTATATCTATTTTTTATTTTTACGCACGCCTGAGCTCAAACCTGTCTAAATCCAGACTTTGTGCCAAATAAATTACGATACAATAATCTTAATAAAAAAAAAAGAAAAACGATCCATGATTTTCTCGAGGGTGCAATACTGCCAGGTTACCCATGGCAAAACAGGTGAATTTTCTTAGAGGGTTCACAACCGGAGCCGTCGGCTAACCAAAACCTGACTCCAAAGGAAGCGCGGCGGTGTATGAAAATTAAAATCCATTGGGGGCCGCTGTCCAGTTCATCGAATCATATGCCCTTTGGACGGGATCAAACATCCAAGGTGACTAGTACATCTCAGCGCCTAATCGAGCCAGTGGGCATTACCAGGACTTGGTTGGTGTGTGCGTGATTCGTATACCTCTTCTCGGTTGGCTCAGAATCAGGGTTTTTAACTAACTCCTCTACATGAACTGCCATTGGTTCACCGACCCGGTTGTTGGCTTTTCGTCCTCGCACTTTGGTGTGGGAAAACACCTCCGCAACGCTAGAAGGCAGTGAGTAGGACTTCCTCAGCCCCGACCATACTGAGGCTTCCAAGCCCCGGAACAGTAGGTTTTACTCAGACTACCTAAGAACTATTTGCACAAGTCACATTTTAGATTTTAAATGGAATTCACAATTCAAATTATTTGTATAAAAGCAAGTCTACATAGATCTATTACGAGTGTATCACCAAGAAAGCGCGAAAGGAGGTTAGGAGCAAGCAGCGTGCTTAGCCACCCAGGTAATAGACTGGGGAAAAAATCCAATATATCTATTTACCTCTGTAGTTGGACTATGTTCTTCCCATACCTGATTAGCGCTTGATTCCTCCTCACTGGCTAGTGTGGACTGTGGGGGAAAATCATGTAATGAACAGTGTTTGCCTTGAAGTTAACGAAAATAATGAACAGAGGGTGAAAACACACGCATGCAAGATGACAGTATTTCTTCCGATACTTGAGCCTAACACCGGTTTTAGATTCTTTGTTAATGAGAGAATTTTCACGCAGTCGATGGCCTATGTTAGCAAACGTTCACACTTTCGAAATCGATGCAACGTGACGGGAAAACGCGCAATCCATGGTTAAGAAATATTTCTGGACCGACAGATTTGCCTACAATTCAGAGTAGTAAAGTTGGATTAATCCGTTCGATTGTTCACAGGCACCAGACACTGCGAAAGCATTCAACTAGCAGGGACTTAACGATCTCCCAAGGTGTGAAGCCCACACACCCAAGACCATCAACAGTGCCTCGTGCCTGTGAACAATTGAATGGATTATTCCAAATTTACTGATCTTTATTGCTTAAAACATTTGCACTAGTTGATTACCGCCGATCGTGCAACTCAGGGGTAAGAGTTTGAGGTCCCTAGCAGAATGTTTACGGGGGTACAAAAACCAGTATGCACTGCTTACGATTGCCAAACAGGACGAAACAGTTGTTCAGTAAGTGCTTTTTGTGTCGGTCATCACAAACCTTTCCACCACTGGAACATTTTCNTTCATACTGATGTGCCATAATAGGATGGGAGGGCATCTCGTCACCATTTGACCAGCACCGTCCGTATGAGCACTATGCGTACAATGAAGATGAGCAAATATTTTTTTCCGTTGCTGCCGTTATTGAGACAAACACAAAATAGCAATGCTCTTTCTAGCTCACCTGTCTTGACTGATGTGAAGACAGTGTTGGAGACAGGACGGAATTTATCAAATAGTTTGGGCCACCATCAGTCCGATCAGGAAGGATTACTGTATGGGACTGGTCTTCCATAGTTTTTGACTGAAAGAAAATTGGTAAAACGCAAATCAATGACAGTTTAAATACTGAGGCCACGATATACATCAATTAATTGCTGGATGATTCAATCAATCACCGGGATAGTTACTGCGTCGGAAAGCGAACACTGAACAGTCTTCGAACTATCTAACATTCACAGATTTATTAGATGTCGAATTTGAAACACAAAGAGGTGACTTGAAGAGACGTTAATCCTTATTTATGGAAAAATAGATAACATTTTGCACACACTCGTTAAAAAATGCATGATGTTCAAAAAAATCAAGATTCCCTGTTAGCTTAGAATGACTATTTGCGAACATCTCAAATTATCCATGTCTGCATCTGTTTAGGTAAGAATAGTTTCAATGGGTCCACATACGAGAACAAGAACGATAGTTTTATAAGCAATGTGCAGGCCTTACGCTCCAGTCCAACGGACACCAAACAAAACAAAACAACACACACACTAGTTTTATCATATAACACAAACACAGTCATGGACGTCACGCACAAAAATGTGAGAAAAAGAACAACAGAACAACGACTACTGGACTGAAGCCCAAGCTGATATAATAAATAAACTAAGTGAAGTGAAACAGTCAGCACTGCGACAGGCAACAAATTAAATGCTCTTTCTTTTACTTCCTTTATTTAACTATTTTTGAAACTATTTAGTTCTTTTGCAGAAAGATTATTATCATCAACAGAATTGTACAACGAAATACAGTTAAGTGAACTTCACTGCTCACTGCAAAGCTCATAATGTACACAAATTAAGTGATAAAGTACAAGATGGAGAGGGATTGGATCCGAATGGAGAGAGAGAGAGGCAAAGAAAGTGAACCTCTATGGTCAACACAAAGGGAAACAATTTAGAGAGAAATTCTTTAATAATCTACAGATACACATAAATAATATAGAAAAGACGGCATCTTGGCGTGATATGGTGACTTGTGTACCTCTGTGGCTTAACATGAACTATTTGTTCCAGTGAGTTATATTGGGTAGAGTGAAGTGATTCAAATATGAAAAGGCCGGTGATATCGATGTTACTGCGCGCTCAGCTGTTAGGGCATGCACTGTGATAAAAAGCGTTGGCGGCGTCTTTGCGGGGGGAGGAGGAGTTGCTACCAATCGAGGTTACTGAAATTTTCATAATTGCAATTTAAGGAACTATGGACAATTGATTTGTTTCAACTTAATGATGGAGGTTAAACAAAGAGTAGTCATCTGGTCCTTCAGGTCGATGGGTTGACTGAAGTTGGGGTCTCAGTTAGAGGAACAATGAATCAAACTAGATGGATGTACAATTCATGCTGCCTTGCGTTAAGGTTTTTATAAGCAACGAAAGTTTCTTCGAGCACTGTACTCGTTATCTTGTTTTCAGTTTCAGTTTGTACAATCATTGGCTATGCACTTTTGTGCGCCAGTTTTGGTTGCTTTCTTTTGGCTGCTCATTTAGATAAAATAGTAGAATGAAAATTGCAATATTGAGAGCAGAGTCAAAGAGAAGGTGGACAGTTCATATAGACCGCGGTTGCAAGAACAATGAGTAGCTGCAAGAGCGCCACTGTTTGCGATACTCAGCAATGTCACTCATTGTACCTAACCATCTGTTACCACGATCTCGCGGTCCCCATCCAGGGGGCCTAACGGAACCGATGTGAACCAGTCTCCTGGTTGGGGTTTTTAGACTCTTGTGCACGGTCTTATTTTGACCACCGTTGGCTTTTTCACCCATTACTTGCCTCGGCAAAAATCGTGCGCCGCGGCAACCTATCTGGGGACATGTGCAACATGTGTCTATGGACGTCGACCACTTCCTCCAGTGAACGACTGCGATTCCCTAAAACTCCCAAAACATTGCTTGTCCAGTTGCCCTACCAGACTGGTGCATTGCGGTGTTCGAATACCGATAATCTATCTTTATCCTGTTCCCGTAATGGCCAAGTTTCTGCGCCGTAGATTAGGATTGACCGAACTTCTGCAGCATTCACTCGACCCTTCACAGACAGCCGGATGTAAAGACAGCACTACAGAGGTCAAAGGTTGACAAATGCCAACAAAGCATGATGCATCCGCCGGGTGANATATAGCTGTCCAAACAGTGAAATTTGCCTACTTCATCTACTACTTCCCCAGTCAGGGTGAGATTAGGGGCTGGACCAACCCAAATTAAAGGCATACTATCTGCCGGAACAAAAGACTTGATTCTTGATAAACAGTCGTCCTTCGGATGCCAAGGATATCTCAATAAGGCAAACATCAAATGAGCCTTTCCTATGCGCCGAGAATATATGACGAATTCTCGCTCTGGAACAAATCTATCATCCAAAGTGGAAACACTTTTGATCGGTTAAAGTGAGATCATAAGTGGAACCATTCGATTCTGTGCCAAAGTTGCACACGTTGAAAGTGCAGAACGTAAGCCGGTCATTTCTAAAGCGGCACTTCAATCCGGAAAAGCTTGTTACTCATCTATATCTAAAATCAGGCGTACGCTATATGTGTTCTAAATTATATAACTTATTGTTCGAGAGAATATAGACATCATGATTCTCACGTAAGAATGGAGGCATTAATTACCAAGTCACACAGCAAATACCATGCTGGAAACCATGAGAAACAAAATTCTTGTGTTGATCTCGTGCCAAACACAATTGTAAACTTAAATGCGACTTCAAATGCCGTCATTCCTCGGCATCTCCTTGAAGAAGAGTCATTGGTGTGATGGAATGGCGCATACGAATCGAGCAAGATATACATAATGAGTCTATTCGAGGAGCGTCAAAATAAAACCGACCGGATCTGAAGCTCATGTACGCTTCTGTGTTATCAGCGGTATATAAATACAGCGGGAATCGTCAGTATCTATAAAAATAATCTCCCCGTAGTATTTACTTGCTAATCTGATGCTTAGTCCGCGTTTTTAGCCTGTTGCAACTCGATCAATAAATTTCAAACTAAAGGATTAGAGCCAGTGATCTAGTGCTATGAAATTATGAAGTAAAACATGTTATAGTACCAAAGGAAGTAAAATCGTTTGTCTGTCTGCACGAGGTCTATTCGGTGAATCGGCTTGTTTACTTTCTTTNTAATAATAAAGAAAAATGACTGAGCATTGAGCACCTAAACAAACATAACAAGCTCCTTTTCCAGATTAGTAACTGGATTTTCTTGTTGTAACTCCCTGGACCTGATTCTGAATCATCCCGCAAAGAAGCACTACACGGGGGAAATGAGGGGCTTTCAAACTCGTCATACAGTGAGCATCGGTAATTCAGTTCCGTCTGCGACCTATTCGTGTTTCTCTGTGAGAGAGGTCACAAGCTGAACGAAGCAATCCAACATACACAGCTCAAAAGAAGTTATTGCAATTATTCATCTCATTCTTAGAGCTCTTATGATAAAAGAGTGATTAGGACAAGTTTCTTTACTAGTTTAAGATGATTATCCGGTGCTGATAATAAACCTGATGACCAAATACAGAAGCTTAGGAAAGAGATAAAAATACCGAAACACGGTCACGATAATAATCAGTGGTTTCTTACGCAGCTCTGCTTATTAGCTTAAACAGCGTTTACTAATTTGGGAGCATGCAAGAATATAAGTTCAACATTCATCAATCATTGATGGTTGTCTTTGCAAAGAGCCTTTGAAATGATGATCGATAATCAACACTACCCCGGACTGACTACATTTGGTAATATATGACTAGAATGATTAGTGTGCTTATGAAGAACAAATACTCACACCACTTGTTTACATATATGGCCTCAAAATTCAAATGCAGATGAAACACCTTGGGAGAAACTAATATATACTGATAAAATGTGTGAAAGTTAATGTTTATAACTCGTAGAGAAATGCATGGCTGATGAGCTGAACCACAATTTAACTTTTTGTGGGGAAATGTAAATGGTAAAGAACACACTGATCTCTTGGCTTTTAATATTCCTAAGGTTAAAACTGAATGGAACTGTGCTCTTCAAAAGCAACAAAATATAGCACAATTATATAAAAACTTACATCGCCCATCCGTTCACCAAGGCCAGAATCGGTGCCTAAGAAGGAGTGAAGTTAGTGGTAATAGAGATATAATTATTTACTCAGATATCCATGTTCACGAGAGGATGTGCGAAGTTTGTCTGGTTCGGTTCCTGTTTTGCGAAGAATCGATTTGCTTTTTTGAGGGATCCCGGATGAAGGCATGCATTTAGAGTCAGAAGAAGGAAGACGGAATTCTTCCTTCTTTTCACACTCTACGAACTTATCGCCCAAATCTTTTGTCCCCGCTTTACTTTGAGGAGATGCGAAATCACTCAGACTAGCTTCTGCTGCACTGATACAACCTTCATCATCCGTGACTGAGAGTGGCGATAGAGGTGCACTGCCGTTTACTTTCTGGTTTTCTTTATTCGGGGTGTTTGTCGCAACGTTTTGTTGGCTGATGCAGTTCGGACAAAAGAACCGCTCTTGCCAAACTGTAACGCGATCGCCCGGGTGAAATGAAATTCTAAAATTTAGTATAAATGAAGAAGTTAAACACTGAATGACAGAAATTCTTCGGTACTATTGCCAACTGATATATACATCCGAAACTGCAAATATCTGACTCAAATAATATGTGCATACGCATCATTCATGTAGGAAAACACGGATAAGTAGTTGCCCCTGATTAAACAGCAGTTCAGGAGGATAAACCGACTATGCGCTCAAAAATAAAATCATCCATACTAAATAAAACGTACAGAAAAAAACTAAAACACCAACGAGAGTTCATGAACACTCACGCGCAGTTGGTACACTTGAAACATTCTCGATGGAATGAAAAATTCATAACCGTAACGATCTCTCCAATTAAGTCTTTTGCACAAATTTTACATTTCGCCACAAAGTATCGCTGATAGTCTTCTTGACAATAGAAGCCCTCGTCCTTCATGAAAAACCCTCCTTTTTCAAGACTTTTGTTGCATTCTAAAACATATCAGCACAGGAATGTATCAAAACATACTTGAACAATTGAAACATCCCTTGTGAAAATACTTTTCGGCAACTTTGAGTACATCGCCCCGGCATTTCCGTTTGCAGTTTTCACAGATGATCTTACCTAAATACACGAATCAGTAATAATTTGCAATATAACCATACCCATTGTTTCAAACGTATATTAAAACGTCATGCCCAGGTTTTTTCATAAAGTCTTCTTGTCCTAGAGCGCAATCGACGACTTCAATTTTGACTCGAACAAACAAAAGAATACTGCTCAAAGTAGAAAGTACGTTTTTCGGAAGCGGGTTAGTCAGTCAGTCAGTCAGTCAGTTTGCACAGGACAGGAGATGGCCACGGCCAATCGA